TTGTACCTTAGAAGAAAACTGAAAATGAACAATGGTGAAAACATTTATGTATCCTCTTCTTCGTCCCTCCAAATTTTAGAGGATGAAGAGTTCAAAATTATGGTTCGTAACTAGAAGAGTGAGTTATGGTTCGTAACTATAAGAGTGAGATATGGTTCGTAACTGAAGAGTTTCAAAGAGAAAAGTGTACTTGTGTTGATAACTGAAAAGTTAAGAAATGACATTTCCAGGACCGTCTTTGAGAGCGTGCAAGGTGGGCTACCGCACAAGGCCTCAAATTTGTTAAAGCTAACATGTATTATAACAGGGTCTCATAAAATGTTTATAGTGGTTAAAATGTAGTTAGATACGACCTCAATTTATTTTAGATAAATAAACTAGTATTAATTTACACGGGGCCTCCGAGAAAATTGAGACGGCTTTGGATATTTCTAAAGTTGAAAATGATTTTCGTAATTTAAATTAAATTAAATTTATTAATAATTGGAAAAACCAAACAAATAATCATGTCATATTTTAAAAATACACTACAAGTGCCACATATGCAGTATTTAACGTTTTTTTCTAGAAAAATTAACAGAAGGGACGTGTTAGGCTAACGGGGGAATTTAAGAACTAGAGTGTAATGTTTCTTAATTAGGGGACTGAATCAAAATAATAAATTAAGTTAAGGAACCAAAAGATAAATTAAGCCTAAAATATAACTTTGTCCCACTTTATTTCATCCCAAACAAATCCTAAATCTTTTTTATCAACCAAACTCAAATACCTTTTCTTTTTTTGGTACAATGGCTCAAATTCATTTGAGTTCTCTTAAATAAGTTTAATCAAAATTTCAATATTTTTAAATTAAATTGAATATAAGTGGAAAAAAAATCTTTAAATTTGGTTGTCTTAAATAAAAATAAATTTAATTACTTTTATTTTGTTTATTTCTGTCATTCATAAAGTATTATAATTAATATAAATTTTATTTTCAATTATTCTTGTATCTTCATGGAATAAGTTTTTACGAATATACTAAAGCTCTATTTAATTTTACGGTAATAAATATGTACTTTCTGAGAACTTATTTTAAATAATTATGACAGACAATAGTCTTGAATTTGCTTTTTCACCTTTTTATAGTTTTAAGGATATTCAACATCAAAAGTATTGTGTTGAAACTCTCCAAAAAAATTGGAAGAGTTGAAAGAAAACAACAATATATTTTAAATTTTGGAGAGTCTTGTTATATCAATCTAGAATTCCTAAATCCCATTGGTCATATATTTTCAACTATGTCATTTTCCTCATTAACAAAATCAATACATCAATCCTTTCAAACAAATCACTATACTTTACCTTATTTGACAAAGAACCTGGTCATAACTCCTGCAAAATGTTTGGTTGTCTTGTCGTTGCATCCACCATAGAATCTCACAAATTCAAACTTGATGTACGAGAAAGAAAATATATTTTATTCCTTTACAAGGCTGGCACAAAGGCTTTGTCCTACTTGAACTAAATTCTAATTAGTTTTCATATCCATAAATTTCAACTTCCATGAAAAATTATATCATTTCCTTCCAACAAGATCAATCCAATGGTAATTTGAAAATATACTCAAGCCAACCTAGTCAGTTTAGTGAACACACGTCTGTTAGTGAACCTTACATAGAGCAAATATCCCACATAACTCACATATGTCACAAACCACCTCATCATCATCCTCACCTACACACCAATCATTTTACTTAAATGACAATGATCACAACTCGAGTACCTCATCTAACATTCCAATCACACATACAAATCAACCCACACATTCTACAATCACCAAAAATCCTCTTATATCTTAAAGATTTGTAACTCATTTGTTGATTCACTCAATCTTTCATCTTTAGTTACCAATTATCCTCTCTCTTAATTCTTGTTTTATTCTCAGTTATCTCCATCACATAACCATTTTGTTTTGTCTCTTAACACATTGACTGAACCAAAATCGATTATTAAGACAAACAAGTTTTAATGTTGGAAACAATTTATACAAATTGAGATCACAACTCTTGAGAGATAAGGTGTGTGGAACATTGAAAATTTGCCACCAAATGTCAAACATGTAGGTTGTAAATGAATCTTTGTAATGTTATATTTGTAAAAGTTCTAAGTCAAGGGCCCTTTTCCCAGGAGTCGTGCCGCCCGAGTGATGATCTGGAGACTCGCCTAGAGGTAGCCCTGACATGTGAGTGAAGAAAGAAAGAGTCTCCACTAACTCTTATGATATATGTGGTCAATAACTTCCCTAGAGGCCTTTATAAATACATCTTTTATAAAAGGGGGAAAGGCATACCCTAATCAATATATCCTAAGTGATATATATCTTCATCACCCTAAAGAGCACAACATTCACTACAGTCTTAACACACGACTGCCAGTAACTATACACTTGCTACCAAGCATCACCAGTCATCATCAACGTCTCTCACCTCCCGTAAGTAGGTCTCATAACTACCTCAAAACACCACCATACAGGACTTTTCTTAGCCATATGAACCGATTTTCCATAATTAAAGCAAGTGAAAACAAGAGCTTCATTTCTTTGAGGTGGTGGGTTCTGCCTAACAATTGGAGCAATCAGGGCCCTAGAAGGGTTCTTAATTTGGCTCACAACATTGCAGTTCTAATTTTAAGTCGTTTTCGGTTGGCTTTGAAATTGCACCGAATTTCATTTTTTTGTTAAAACAAGCAAGACTTCATCTTTCTGATCTTATCAACAAGATTTTTCTTCAGCTCATAGGAAAGTAATCAAACTCTAAATTGAAAATTCTTTTGTTTTATGGCAAAGCAAGTTTTTAAAATCTTTCCAGCCAGGGGGATGTTTCTCAATGATAACAGCAATCTGAAATTGTTCATCTACAAGCATACCTTCAATAATGATTTCGTGAGCAATCTTCTGAAGTTCGTGGCATTGAGCTTCCACGGACCTTTCATCTACCATCTGATACTTCAAGTAACGACTAATAATATACTTCTTTGTTCCAGCGTCTTCAATATCATATTTCTTTTTCAAAGCTTCCCAAACCTGTTTTGAGGTCTTGCAGTTACAATAATAATCATAAAGATCGCCAACAAGATCATTTAGAATATATTATTTGTAGAGATAATCATTCTCTTGCCATAAGGAATTTTCTTTGCTGAGATATAAATCGCTCGGTTTAATCTGTCTAGCAGATTCGGTTTCAACAGAGTTACCAATTTCATTTAAATCCATAGATTTCTTGTCGTTAGTTTGTTCGGTTGATAAAAAAGCAATGGGAATGCCCTCAGTCAAAATGTTGACAACCTTTTTAGGGGTAGAAAAAATGCATCTTTTGTTACCAGCGTTTGAAATGACTTCCTCAAACTTAAACGGGTTTGTCAGAGACAACAGTCGGAGAATTACCAATAATTTCTTCTATAGCCATGGTAGTTTTAAAGCATCTTAAAATTGTTGTTTACGGTTTTGAAAAAAAGAGTCACAGAATAAATTATTTGGCTGAGTCGCAAACTAGGTTACTCTCTTTAAGAGATTTCGCGACACTATCCAAAATTATGCAAAGAAGTCGAACTACCACAACGCGTCCAGGATAAATCTGTTTAGTTCTACGTACGATTACTACTTGCACGATAGGTGATTAGTCTAGAATTACACCCTCAGTTGCCCTAAGACCAGTCGATGATGGTGTTAAAACCACTCATAGTTTTTTTCAAAAAAATAGTTGCTGATGACACTGACAATCCACTCGGAAAAAAATTAAGATTAAGTTGTGTGTGTGTGTGAGAGAGAGGGGGGAGAGAGAGAGAGAGAGAGAGAGGGAGAGAGAGAGAGATATTTCAAATTCAAAAATTTGAAATGAAAAATATGAGATGGAAAAATCTCTATTTATAGGTGAAAATCTGACCCGAATTAGAGATAGTTGTGAGAGAATGGAATAGATTCGGCTCATAACTAGTCGTTGCAAATTTGGTCGACAAGTCAGATTTTGAAGCTTGGAAGGCAAGCCAAATGTTCCATCAAACTTTAGAATTAGATTAATGTCAACATCATTAAGTAATAATTAATTAATTACATCACACCAAATTAATTAACACTACAGTCATTAAATTAATTAACATTAAATTGTAATATTAAATAATTTTAATATATAAAAAAAAAAATCAAAGTCTAAGTCCAAGTTCGGATCGAATCAAGCCGAGTCTGCCGATCGGCGTTGGATATGTAATGTTTCATGCACTAACTCCGTCAAATTTCCCATTAGTCCTTTGATTTCCAACATTTTGATGTTTAGTAACTTTGACATAAAAAATACACATCAACTCCTTTTTACAACAACGTGACATAAACAAAGGAAACACCATCATAGTGATCCAACTCATCAGCAACTAAGCAACTAAATTTAGACGATGTTTAATAGAGGGACTAGTGTGTCTAGTGTCCTCCTCGTACATTGTTAAATATTTGCTCTTGACATATTAAATAGTAAACAACTATGCGTGAGTCAATGATTAAATAAAATAAACCTATACAGAAACTGAAACCCTTCACATCATGGAGTAACTCATAGCTTATTCCATTCTTAGAGTACTAATACTATCGATACAAAAGTGACAAAAATAACTTGTATCCATATTATTATACTCTAAAAACAGCCAAGCATGAAATATGATCAGAGAGTTATTTTAAAATTTGAAATCCAAAATCATGATCATGATCAATAACCAAAAATAACAGCAAGATGGGGAGGATTAAAAGAAGGAAGAAAAAAATACATGTCAAGAAATAAAACAAGACATGGCGATTGTAAATAGACATCGTCATGACAAATGCTTTGCACCTAGCAACCGTTTTAATTCTCTCACTCATGCTAATAAGAGAGAGGAAAATCAGTAAAACTACAATCACTCCATGGAACGAACAGCAATTCCACAGTTTGCATGAAACAAATGCTGTCTTCAGGTCCCAATTTTCCACCGAAGACTTAATAACCATTTATCTGAGGTCTTGAAGTAGTAGGACCAACAAGCCGTGAAAAGGGCACTTGTGGCCTCCCATTGTTCAACTCCCTTTGACCTGAAAACCTATCATTTACTTTGGGCTCTGACACGGATTTTGAGAATGCTTGAGCAAGGTCAACTGCCGAAGCTGCTCTGCCGTAGCGAGGGCCACCGGCACCTTGAGATGATTCCACAGGCTTGCGCCATGTTTCAGGTGAAGATGGCCTCTCAGAGACTTGCTGCCTATCAGTTTCCCTCGGGTTTCTCCGATTATTATTGTTATTATTATTATCACCGCTGCGCCAATTCTTTCTCTGTCCAAGAGTCCTGTCACCATCTACCTTTTGCTCCTTCCTTTCAGGTTTTCGGCCTGTTCTTTGATTGAGACCATCGTCCGTTTTTTCACCATATCGATTCTGGATTGAATGATCATGAAGTTTCTCGGACCTCAAAATGTTTTGTTCAACCCTTCACAATACATATACATAGGTTATTGAGAAGCATTGAATCAGACTTGGGTCACCACATCATAAAATCTCACATGCAAACAAACAAAAAAAACAAGTTATTACCTGTTTGAACTCTCAACCACATCATAGTTTTTGATTGCAACATCATCAACCCCTCGCTCCTTCAAAACCTGATGAAAAGATGAAAGTAACATCGGTGTTATTAAATAGCGGCTATCACGCTACAGTGGATAGGAATTTGGACAAATCGCTAATATTCCCTAATACGCTCTTTAGTACAAAATGTCGGCAAATAGCACTGATGTGTAGCAGAATTGAACAAAGTGCTATTTTGGCAATAGGTAGTTGACAATTTAACATTAAGCTATGCCAGTTGCTGCATTTGGCACTACAAGACCTTTAAAGCCGCCAAATAACTAGTAGGGGTAGGGGGAATTCAATCAAAGAGAGGATAAACATTTTAATAGGATAAACAATGAGCATGCGTGAAACTATAGTCCCTACTCATAACAGACAAAAAATAGGGGTTGGATCCTCTCCATCCATCCCCTCTCCACTCTCATATTGTCTCATAAAGTCTTCTCTCTATTCATTATTTATTTTCTCTCTTAACTGCAGGAGAGGATTCATTGGCCAAAAAATGATAGTAAAGCATTAATTTTAACAGCTATTAAGGATGAGGAATAAATGAAAGAACTTACCAATTCTCGAGGGCGAGCTCCACCAAATAAAGCATTCCTGAAACATTTGCATCAGTTGTTCAATTATTAATCGGGAAGCATGGGATAACTTACCACATAAACTTGCTGAAAGTAGCCCATGAATTTCAAGCATTCACCAAAAGTTTCAGGAAATTAAGAAATCACAAAGCTTAACATAACCAGCACTTAATATTCACTTGTTTTGAAACATAGCATAATTTAGAACCCTTCAAATGGACAGGTCGGGAACAAAGTAAACATAATTCAGAATCACAGGAGATGCTAATTTGTTAAAGGGTTTGGAACATGTAATGTAGGCAATGATTGAGAAGCAACAGAATTAAATAATCCTTCTGCCCCTAATTATAAGATCCTTTTGGAACATTTCTTTCTCTAAATATGAGACTCTACAAATCTTTTTAGATATATGTATTGCTCTTTTTTCAAATATATCCGTTATTCATATTACCAATTTGCCTTGGAATAATAAAAATCAACATTGAATGCATATATACATAAAGGGTAACTTAGTAATAATCAATCATACACAAATTAGACACAGACATTAGTTTAAATTACCAAATTTTCTTAATATTCGCAAAATGTGCAGTCTTATAAATAAAGACGGAGCGAGTATATGTTTAACTCTTGATCGGATACTAAGAGCATCGTATTTCCAAATCACAATCGTCACATTTGCCGTTGTGAAGTTCACCGGCAACCATATTGGTAATGACATTTCACAACAGAAAACATGAAAATTTCCTCACAATGACAAGAATAAAAGCAAATATAAGGCACAGTTTAACTGTTTTTTTAATTCTTTGGTCAATGCTAAAGGGTATAAAAAACAAGAAATTTAGAATTTAAACCTAAGGGTTCAATTCTAATTCAAAGGTCAGTTCTAAGGAGTTATAAAATGCGATCCTGGACTTTCACAAAAAATTACATCATAAAAATTTTAAAGTTGCAAATGAGCATCAAAAACAAAAACAGAGAATGTAATTTTTAAAATTAAAAAAAAAAAGTATATTCTCCGATAATACAGAAGATTTTTTGGGTACTCTGTCGTCTACCATAAAGCAAATAAATCTTGTGGATATTCAAAGACATTTTGATAGGGTCAACTGACAAATCTAATAAATAAAGTCATCTAAGACTAATGTTCTCATAGTGAAGGAGAATCTCCTTAATCATAATGAAAACATGTGGCATCATACTCACATGACACAAATGTTCTTCACTTTTGCCACAGACAACCTAAATCTTTAACTGTTCATTATATAATAAGTGGCTTGTGTGTACTTTTCAACTGGCATGAACAGCTGAGTGTGCATGTATCTTCCCAATTCAGTAATTTTGGCGTATTTTGATTATTTAGATTCAGGTTTAAGTGATAGTGGTCACTCATTGTAATCTTTAACCATAGTATATTTTCAAACTTCAATATCTTTAGCCCGTGGAAGACCTATGGCTACAGTTTATGGTAGGTTGAACCATCTAGCATTATTAACACCACATTCATACACCCAAAACAAAAATAAATATATAATAGCACTATGAAAAACATCTCAGCCCACTGTCTCATGCAACTGACCTGTCTCTTTCCCTGTTTCCTTCTGACTGTTCATATACCTCAGGTCGGGGCTTCAGAGGCTTCAGATTCAGCTTTGGACGCTGTCCTAAATCCTTCCCACTTTCGGTTCCAGACGAAACAGGCTTCACAAGATTGGCATGCCCATGTCCCTGATAAACAGGTTCCACATGGCTAGAATCATTAACTTGACGATATCCCTAACGTGGAGAGAAATTGAAAGAATATAAAATGTGAAAAAAAAATGTATAAAAACTGAATCTTGTAAGTTGAATATGTGATTACCTGGGCGTGTTCTGTAACAGAGGGTTCTGAACTATCCAGCGGCTTTGTTCTTGGCAGCAACTTCAGTTTAGGTCGCTCAATTGGTTCAGAAGCTATATGGTGCTGTGATTCAGAACCAACAACTTTGGCATCAGTTCGAGCAGGCTGAACCCTGTCAGAAAACTGACCTACACTTCTTGGACGCACATCTGAATACTTGGAAACCCCCGATCTGTCATGTTCGAGTAACTCATTCCTACCACCTCGCATCTGATTATCAATACCTAAACTTCTTTCAGCGTGTCTTGCTAGAATTTCATCAGAATGCTCATTTTGACGCACTATATCCATCCTATTGCTATTAATAAACGCATGCGGTCTACTCTCCACTTCGGAAGGTCTGACCACCTCAACATCTGTCTGATGATGGACTGACTGCCATCTACCAGAAGCCACCTTATCAAGGGCACTAGCATGAGTCAACTTGGAAACAGCATTAGCGGCAGACCAAGCAGCTTGTTCCGACTCAACAGCACCTGCCACCTCCTTCCTCATTGACCACGCATTTGGATAACCACCACCACCAGAGCCAGCAGCGGCTGATCCATTTTCCTTACTACCTCCAAAACTCTGAGAATTTACTCCCACATGAACTGTCTCGGCAAGCCTAGCCGAGTACGAATTAGCATTCCCAACAGGGGACACCGGAGCCACTTGCCTGCTCAATGAACTGCTTCTCTTCACCTCAACACGAAAAGGCGGAGGACCACGAAGGCTCTCATCACTAATTTGTCTCCTTGGGGCAGAACTTCCATCCAGCGGCTTCCTTTCATCCTCATCAAAATTCCTCCCAATTGTAGTAGTATGTGGAAGAAACAGGGATTTGTCATCGTAATGCCTAGTTGCGGGTGATGTGTGCGGCCGAGACCAATGATCCGGCCTCCCCATCGGGTTTCCCCACGACGCAGGCCGGTCATAACCAACCCGGTCCGAAGGCCTCACAGTTCTGATAAAACCAAAACAAAAAAAATAAATAAATCACGACAATCTCTTCACATAAACAGATCCATCAATTTAAAAAACTCATCACAGTAATCACATCAAAAGATATAAAAAAAAATATTTAAAAAAAAACAAATCATGATAAATATAACCCATAGATCTAATTGGTAATTTCTCTCTCATATAACAAAATCAGATTATTCTTCACAAAACCACAGCATGAATAAGCGTAATCATTTACGAATGAACATTAACGAATAAACGAAAGATAAATCAAACTAAAGTAAGATTAGAAATTTGATCGTTGAAATTAAAACAATGAAAAAAACGAATAAAAGGGGATGATACGATACTTACACGCCGGGAGCCGAAGGGAGAGGGAGATCAGAAGGTATAGAACCGCCATGGAAGTCCTTCAGCGTCATGGTGCTTCCACCACCTTTCTTCTTCGACATTATACCCCTTCAGCGTCTCCTTCTTCCTCACAAAATAAAAAATAAGAAAACAGAAAAAAAAAATTCAAAAAATAATCGTAACCCCAGAAGCCAAATTTGAGGGTGGCTTTTGTTGTTGGTTAGAGGAAAGTGAGAAAGGAAATCAAGAAATAGGTGAAAGAGATAAACGAAGAAGAAACAGAATTAGTGAAATTTGGGTGAGAAAAAAGAAAAGGGAAAAAAAGTGAAGAGAGTGTGAGAAGAGGTGGTGAATGATATAATTTGATAGAGCGATATTTGGGGCGTGTTTATGTGTTGTGCGGTTTATTATAGTTGTCCATTGGATGTTTGCCACGTAAGGAATCGAAACTTTGGCGTCGTTGGATTGGATGTGATTAGAATCATAGATTGTGTCGGATGCTGAGGACAGGTGGCAGTCTGGTATTACGAATACGATTGTCGTCGCGGGCTCCACCGTTAAAATTTTGAAAGATGTTACACAAAAAAAATACACTACACCCATTTACTTAAACAGTATTTTCATATTATTTTGATTATATAATTTTTTTTAAAATTAATTTAATTAATGAAATATTAAAATTTGGTAATACAGTTTAAAGTCTGGTTAATATAAATTATGGTTAATATATATCATTCAGAATTTTGTAAATGTTATGTATATATTTATAATTTAGTTTCAGAACATGGTTAATAGTATATATTTTATTGGTTAGTGAATTATAGATAAAATAATTGGTTAATGTTGTAGATTTTTGTGGTTAATACAATTGTGAAGTTGGCTAATGACGCAATCTTATATTTGTGCTATAAAATAAATTTTAAAAATAAATATTTTTTTAAAAAAAATTTATATTTTAAAAATATATATTATTTTAATAAAAAACACTATTCATCGTATAAATACGGTGAGCAGTGCATACGGTGTAGATATGTGGGTGTAAGAAGTGTTGTTCTGGCCTGGGTCCCCGCTTGATCGGGAAGGCCCAACCCACTTATACTTGGTGGAAGGCCCAAATGAGTTCCCTTCATCTTTGTCGAGCACGAGGCTCCCGTCGACTAGGCCTTTCCCGTCGGGCAGGACGCTTCTCCCGTCGGGCAGAAAGACGTGTGCCTCACACCTTCTCCACGTGCTCCCCTCCGCGGGGACACGTCACCAACCAACTGCCGACATCCGAAAGAGCAGGTCAAACCTACTTTCCGAATATCACGGGACAGTTGAACTAGGGCGAAGACCACGTTCTGGTCTTCACTACGCCACGTAAGCCCTAGCAGTCACTTGGGTTGGGTCTGGCCATCCAGCCCAACTCAAATGATCGTTGGCCCTGCGTTGGGTTCTCTCTATAAATACCCTCTTTCACAAGATGGTCAGGTATTCAAGTCTCATCCTCTTTTCTGTATTTGCTCTCACTCTGTTAAATTTCTTGCTTTGACATCGGAGTGTCTTGCAGGTACACCCCCCTTCTCCTCTTCAGCACTGGTGAACAGGTAGCGAGTCAAAGACGTGTGGCAGTCCAGTGGTTTTCTTCTGGTCAGGTCAGATCAGGTGTCAAATATCAGGTGTCAAGGTAGCAATCCTGTAAAACTTTGTCACAAATTACTCTTTGTCACAAATTATTTACACTAATGAAAATGTATTTTAATAATTAATTAATGTTTACTTTGTTTCAATCTCATCTCCTATTAAATTATAACAAGTGATATTCGTTTATCAACCTCTAACAATTAAATCACAATTAAATATTACATACTCAACTTTTTCTCTTCATTCAAATTTTAAATTTGTCTCTTATTTCATTTTTCAAGGTTTTCTCACTTTCATTTTAATCTTTTTTTATATTTATTTATTATCACTAAAAATACTAATAATCTATTTTTTAATTTTAATAAAATTAAAATTTTATTTATCTCACATCTCACTATAAAATTAATATCTATTTTATTTTAATAAATCATTATCTTAATGTGAAAGACAAAATTAAATATTACTTTCTTTTTCTTTCTCCATCTCATTATTCTTTTTTTTTCTTTTTATAGAATCATTTAATATAATTTAATTTATATGATTATTGTTCATTTTACAATTAAGTATATCATTATAAATTTTGTATTTAAATTTTGTATTTATATTAAATAAACTTTTTATTTCACAGGTCACTATAAACATAATACATATTTTATTTTAATTAATTATTACATTAATTTGAATGATAAAATCTTTATTATCAAATATTAAATATTCTTTTTTTTTTATTTTACGAGCCTTTTTTCTCTCTTTGTATTTTAATATATCTGTATTTATATAATTATTGTTTATTTTAAAATTAATAAAATTAATAGTTATTATTAAATTTAAATACACATATAAATATATTTTATAACGTACCAAATTTACATGTGCATTTAAATATATGTGATATTGTGTCAAATAATTTTACTTGTGAGAAAACACAGGTATTTTACTAGTAATTTTATACGGTAAAAGAAAAAATATATTATTTATTTTATAAAATTATCATTTATTAATAATTTAAAAAGATTAATTGAAATAAGAGAAGATAATAAATATTAAAAAATATAATTAAAAAATATTAAAGTTAGAAATTTTACTTCAACTATCTTCTTTTTTTATAAGCAAGTTTTACCAATTTATTTATTTTTTCTTCTAAATTATTGTGGATTAAGTAATTATTATATTTTTAGTTTTGAATAATTTATCAAGAACACGTTATTCTACTTTTTTTTTCAACTTACTTTTTTTTTGTTTATCATTTATCCTTCATCAAAATTTCTTTGTATATTGTTTTTTATACTCTTATGTAGGTAATGACTTCATTTATTATGTTCATTTAAGTGAAAGTTCTTATTTATTAGTGTTTTCTTCCTTTAAATTAAATTAAATTATATATTTTAGAACAATTCAAACTATTTAATCGGCTAACTATTTCTCTTACTTCTTTTGACATAACATAAGTTCATTAGTGAGTTACCGTTAATGCATAATTATTCACTTGTTATTTAGGATTATGTTTCCAACATTTTTCAACAGTTCAATTATAGAAATTTGAAGTGTTTTTCAACAGTTCAATTATAGAAATTTGAAGTGTTTTTAGAAATTCTGCTCATAGGAGATTAAGTTAATTTTTAGAGGTATTTGAGGTCTAATTTGATTCGGTTTTGAGAGAATCTGATATCTAAACTGATTAAAAATATATGGATTAGTTTGGATTGAATTTGTAATTTCTTTTATAAAACTCAAAGCAAACCGAAGCGAAAAAATAATATATTAGTTTGATTTGAATTAATCGAGTACATCAAAAAAGTGTAAAAAAATTTAAATAAAGTAATTTACGACAATAAATTTCTATAATACTGTAAAAAAAATTATAGAATTAATAGTGTGCAATTACAAGCACTAGAATAGTATTTTTTTTTCCATAATAGATTCAAAAATATATAAAAGAAAAAATATCTAACATAAAAGATTTTGAATATGCAATTAGTCATTTCGATTACTATTGTAATGAAGGTGGTTCTCAATGAAGTTGCATGTCCCTAATACATTTAAAGGTAGAACTTCAATACGGTTTTTGTTGTTTTCCTTATCGCTTTTGTTTTATTTATTATTATTTATAACGTCTCATTCATGATTGCACAACTCTGAATCAAGTTTTAAATTGATTAGTTTTTTAGCATGCACTATTCAATTGTTATATTTGAACTTGATCATGATATTTTTAGTCAATTGGTTGAGGTTGTGAAACAAGAATCATATGTGTTATTGGTTCAAGTTTGGTTGAAAGGAAAATCTCAAAGTATTTTGACAATAAGGAAAAATTGAGATTTTATGTGCATGACTCGAATCATGTACATATTCTGAATCGAATCAAATTGGACAGAGGTAAACATAAAATTTTCAAAACTTGTGTCTCGAACCACACTTTTAACTTGATTTGAATCAAGCAATCTTGTGATTCAAATCAGACAGATTTGGGTCACATATGTTTCATTTGATTCGAATCAGACTTTACACTTGACTTGAATCAGACAGTTTTTCACATTTTTCTATTTGGCTCTGTCCAAATTGACTCGAATTAGACTTTGTACTTGATTCGAATCATGAGCCTTCATGAATCAAATCAGAGTCATAAGGTTATTCGAGTCACACGAGAAATGGGTCAAATTCTTTATGTTTTCTTATTCCACTTCACTTGCCAATTTGACTCAAATTATGAAATGTTCTTGACTCGAATCTAATTAACTTTTTTCATCCATTTTTGTGATTAATCTCAAGAATATATAAATTCATTTTGTCATCTTATTTTCAAGAAGACAATTTCATAATCTACATTGTGATTTTGTGAAATCAACACCTTTTTTAAATAAAAAAAACTCAAAAACTCTTGCAAACAAGAATTCTTTCATCTTCAACCTTTAGTTTTAATTTTAGATCTTAATAATGAGATATTTGTAATTGATTGATGAATAAGTTATCTTAAAACTAATCGCTCTTAAATGTTTGGTAAGGATTTTCAGGAAGCTTGCAAGATTGAGATTGTTGTCTTTGGTGGTGATAAATTCTAGTGAAAAGAAGAAGGTTCTTCTATCCAGCTGGCCTTGGTAACGACTGTATGAAAGACTACAGACAAGGTGGAATTCTTTTTAATCTTTTAATAGTTTTTCACTCATGAAACCAGTCGGATCAGTAGGTGATTTCCACACACAAAGACTATGAGCAAATCGGTGAAGCTGGAAGAATTCAAGAGGCGAGAATCGAGTAAAGATTTCACAGAAGAGTTTGGCATTAGATTGTATACAAGTCAAGAATCATATAGGATATTTCTTTTTCTCAGCATTATTGTGGATTATTATTGTGTAAACTCTAGCAATATTTCTCAAAACATAGTGAAAGAAAATAGGTTCCAATGGGAAAACATTGAAGAGTGGATTAGGCTCATGCGAGGACGATAGAGCTGAAACACTATATATCCTGATGTACTCTG